TCTCGTCTTACCCTGTCGTGGGATAATACAAGATGAAGTCAAGTTTACCTCATCTCACGACGCTTGTGGTTCAGACGGGAATAAAGACTGCTTTTTCCGTCTCTGTGCTTAGACTCGGTAGCGGGCTACTTGTGGAATTGGTCCGTATTACGTGCCTGTATGGGTTTATAGCTGCTTCATGATTTTGTATGGCTCTTCCCTAGATGGCCTTTTCGGGGCAGCGTTTTATTTTATGTTTTTGGTTCTATTCAGTTTTTGTTTAGTAGTTGCTGCTCGGTTTGTTTTGTCATGGAAAGTACATATTCATACCCTTTTAGGCCATTCTACTACATCTAGTCGAATTATTGCCTACGACTATGCCGTGGACATGTACCGGCAATATCGACCAATGGATTTCCGCTCCGTAGAGTACACAGGCCTTGTGATATGGCCTTGATGGACGTTGGTAAAGCTAGGTGGAATTAATTTTTGTTCAAGTACAAGTTCTTATCCGAATCACTCCTAACCAACTCCCACAGCACCGAGAATCACCCTCTGCACTGCCCACCGGGCGATTTGGCCCGCAACAGCAACCGCAACAGCACGCAGATACCCACAGCCAAGTAAGATATACAAGGCCTCAATATTACTCAGAAGCACCAGGTGCGTATCAACAACACCAAGAGAAAGCAACGAAGCAAGCAAGTCAAAAAGACCCGTCAGATAACTAGTCGGCGTGGAAGCTCGAAGCGAAGCAGCCGTGGCAGCGAGCCACGATTCCAGGAACGAAGAAGAACGAGCCGAATCCGGCGGCGGAGCCGATATAGCCCCTTTGGCAGAGAGGAGGGAAGAGGTTTGCGTGGCTGTGGCGAACAGGCTCTGGTGCACCGCGCTCAACATTGTAGCCGGCTGCGTCGGGGCCCGGATCTGTGCTGCTGCGTGACTGTGCGCTGGGATGTCGGAGAGGCTGCCGCTCCCGTCCGCGCCCCAGATTACCAGCAGGATGGGGAAGAGCTTTGCACAGCTGCTGACTAGCAGGGCGGTGCTGATCGCTGCTGGGCTTGCGGCTGTTGGAGGGGGTAGGGGCTGGATATTCTGCAGCGGGGCTGTTGATGCCCGGCGCAGGGGTGGCGCAGGTCGAGGTGGTGGTCCCATTGACGTGCCTTGCGGTGGTGGGGAGAGGTCGGTTGGGGAGGCGACCTCGCTGTATGAGCTAGGGGTTGGGGTTGGGCAGAGTAGGCTTGCGGAATGGTTGGCGGGGTTCTGGGTGTGTGGGTTTATCGGCACTCCGGATGGCGAGGGTTGCGTCGTTGGCGTTGGAGGGCCGGAGGGGAAGAGGGTGGCATCTCCAGTAGACCTTAAGCTAGGATTGGTGTTGGCATTGGTGTTGGCATTGCTGCTGCTGTCTGGTCCGCTATATCTGCGCGACTTTGGGACCAAGATTGAGGCCAAAAGGCGCACGGTGAGGTGGTGCGCGAGAGTTGCGGCTGCATTCAAACTGAGGAAGAAGAGGTATTGGATAATGATAGGGGCGCGTGAGAGGAAGGTTGTTGCGAGGGATGGGTCCTTCTCTATGCGTGCCCAGGTCAGGTAGACGTCGAAGAGAAGCAAAAGAACCCCAAGGCGGATTATGGATCGCTAAAAAGGTGACTTTATCAGTAATTGGCTCACAGTTGTTTAACATAGCGTACCCACATCGAACTGGTTGTCGTCTCGCCCGAGCCGATTGAAGAGGAGATGTCGGTATACCTGTTTTCGCGATAAGTCAGCCAGGTGGCGTCCCTCTGGAATATGTACAATGCGTATATACCTGGGGCTTGATTAGCACCAAGTCAATGAAGAGCACAACAAAGTCATATTCGACATATTTGTCGGCAAAACGCTGGCACCGCGGGCATTGCGTTAGTCGCACACCCTTGCCTTGGGACCTGTCATCGGCACGACTGTAGGCGCTGTACAGGTGAGAGACCGGATAGGAGCACTCGATGCAAATAGGCATCGCGTCACATCCAAGGATCTTTCGGAATGTACGAGAGTCTCGATGGTCTCCTATCGCGACATTGAAGGCGGTGAAGCCAAGATCGGAGGATACCTTTACCTAGGTAGGTATACCTCCCAGGGCGATGATGTATGACCTGAGGCTGCAACGTAAGAAACTAGAGCGTACCTACTAGAGGTAAGCAATTCTCATCATTCTCTGGGGAATCAGTCAAAATACTGGAAAGGGAATAGAGACAGACAAAAAGCAAAAAGTAACTCCGATAGGGGAATCGAACCCCCCGGCTGCCGTGTGAGAGACGGCGATGTTAGCCACTACACCATATCGGATCTTGGGATGGAAGAACATACAGATTTATGTCTTATCAGCCTATAGCTAAATTTTAAGTATAACAGAGGGCCGAAAAGAGCCCAAGGGGCCCGTCACTTGTCATTTGTTGGTTGAGTGTTAGGCATATCATGAAGAGAATCCAATTCCAGTCTATTCTCATCTCGTAAGGTTATGATAGATCTGGTTTTGATGGGTCCATCGTCCATCTTGTTCAGTTGATCTCTTCAACATTTACTTGGTAGGTTCTCAATGACACAGTCTTCTTGAATTATTCGCCTATTCAGCCCTCCCAGGTCACCTCCATAATGGAGAGGTATGATTTAGATGGCTTGGATATCCTCATAACTTTGAACCGCAAGTCTGTGTCTCTAAAAAGAGATTTCCAATCATCTGGTGTGCGCTCTTGGGCATTCTGTAAACCAAGCATGTACATATCGTAGTCCCTGGTTTCTTTTTATCAGTCTATAGTCCCATAACCGCAACGAACATTCAGTCTCGTACCGTGCTTCACGCTCTTTCAAGTAATGTGCCTCTCCATAGCCGGGAATGATGCGATCATTTAGAACCACCTTGGCCCCGGGCTTCAAAGCTGGTATCAAAGCCTGCAGGATCTTCCGCGCGTATTTATTGGACCAGTCGTGCAGTACATGACGCAATAAATAAACATCAGCGCCATGTACCGGTTGGTTTTGGAAGAAGTCATGGGGTTGGAAGCGGATACGATCCTGGAGGTTAACCGGCAAAGCTTGCTCTGCCTGGGAAATAACCTCGGGGCGATCTTGTACAATGCACTGAACTGTTGGGCAGTGATCCGCGAGTGCGCGGGCGATATGGCCGATGCCACCGCCTACGTCGACGACTGTGATATCTCCAGATCCGAACGGGAAGTGATCTATTAGATATTGCGGGGAGTATCCAGGTAGCTGAGCGTGCCAACTCATGGCTGTAGCAAAGATCTTCGCACGTTCAGGCATGTCGGCAAGGGCTTGGAAGACCGGGAGATCAGTGCCATTTTGTATATTCCATCCCTGTTGCTATTTAGCTAACCTGCATTAAATAAGTCACTGGAATGATTACGCTATGTTGTGGCTCTTCAGAGTCATTGTTTTGCGATACAGCTTCAGCAATCTGGAATATCAGCTTGGTATGAACACGAGGAGCTTGGGACACTTATCGGCATACTTTAAGGGCACCAGGCATGGTCTCACCAAGTCCGACCAGCATCCAAGAACGCATACCCTCATTCTCTGTTAAAATACGGGAGCCAGCCGTGTGGATGAAGAAATCAGGCTTTTCTTGGAAGAAGACATGATATGTGGCGGCATGAGACATCAATCGGCGAACAATATTCTCATTGCGATTAACACGCTGTGCTAGATCTTTGATGGTGGCCCCCTCACTCGGAAAATTCTCAAATATCTTCAGGCGAACCAATGCCAATGTGCTTAAAGAAGGGTTACGCTAGCAGAGGTCAGGTCAGTCTGAAAAGTGGGAATCTCCTTTTACTCACCAATTCAGGGCTACCTAGGAGTGCGGGATCGGTTAAAAGATCACGTAGCTCATCTAGTAAGCCTAGGAGCTTCATGCGTGCGGCTAGCGCAGTTGAATCCGGCGCATCGGTCTGTAGCACAGCGGGTAATCCATGTTCGAAAGAAGGCTCAGGGATTCCCTGCGAAGACAGATCGCCTGCTAGGCTGTGAACAACCTCAGCAATTTCGGCGGCGCGACCGACGAGGTTTGCACGGTCCATTTGAGAGCAGGTGTATATGGCGAAAAGCACTTCCACTCAAAGGAAACCACCACTTCTTAAGGGATACCGCAGCACGAAGTACTTCATAAACCTGAAACCATATCCTTAGCTCGCTTATATAGGTATAGCATGGTTCTTTCGGAACAATGCAACCCTCGGGAGTAACCGCTCTCTTGGCTTTTGGAGCCCCAGCCCAGAACCCCTCTATTAAAAACACGCTACTGTACGCCACCTGCAACGTGATAGAAAGATAGGGCCTTTATCTACATTTGGCATGGGCCAAGGTCCAAAACAAGGATTATACTAGAATGTTGGGAGCCAAAGGATTCTCGCATGTCATTGTCCTGGTCGGCTTGAAGTTCCACCGTTATATATACATGTGGATCTCATATTGAATACAGTACAGCATATTTATAGTGGGGCTAAACCTTTGTACCCAAATATACCGCCCTCCAAATTCTGCTAGTTCTGCCAGTCTAAAACTCCTAATATAGTTAGCGTGTAGGCACGTGATTTAGCGCTAACGGTTAGCAGTTAAAGGTATGTACCTAAGGAGGCTACTAAAAAAGACCACTAAAAAGACCTTTAGAAAAGACTACCTAAGAAACCATTCAGCAGACTATGGCCGGATAAGCGGCTGACTATATATTCTTACGGTAGCATGTTCAATAGGAAGGCGGTATTTATGACAGTATGTAACAGGCAGGCGGTATGCAGCGCGGTAAAATGTAGGTACAAAGGTCTAGCCCCACTGTACCTATAGAGTGTGATCACGCTAATGGCGTGAGCGTTGGAATATTGACTGGGTGCCTCACTCGTCATTGGTTAACATGACTGCGATTATGTTACGGGCGCGAAAGAGGAGGTGAGGATTGGCTTCGACTTGTGGTTCGACTTGTGGATGAGTCGACTTGGTCGAACTATTTTAGGCGACTACATCACATGATCAAAGGACTCCAGGAGATTTCCCTTCCCATCTTCTTTCTATACATCGACCTCGCATTGCATGTGAAATGGACTTCGACAGTCTTGCAAACCAACAATCAGATCGGATTTTTCAGGTGGGGATACAAAAACTACTCAGAAATTCGAGGATTTGGCAGGCAAGCTTGCTTCCCGGCATTGCCCGGTACGCCCGTGACAGCTTCACGGCTTCCAAATGGTGCTTTCAATATTTGCTATCGAGTTACTTTCGAAAATGGAGACCGCGTTGTAGTTCGTTTTGCGGCTCTTGGTCGAGTCATCGCTCGCAATGAAAAGATTGAAGACGAGGTCGCCCTCATCCACTTTGTTGCTCAACACACAACGATCCCTGTTCCAAAAATCTTGGGATTTGGCAAGTGTGTGGTCGTTCCGTACATTGTGATGTCTTTTGTCGAAGGAAGTCCGTTAAGTGGATATCCCAGAGATTCGCCTCGAGAAACAGACACGCTAAGTTTGAATATTCCTATTTCTGTCTTGAGGAAGGCCTATTTTGGCATGGCAGAAGTTCTGCTAGAGCTGTCGAAGCCTGAATTCCCGGTTATTGGAGCTATCCGAAAAGACGAGTTGGGTAGTTGGACCGTGCCGAAGCGTCCGTTTACCTTCAACGCAAACCGGCTCGCTCAATTCTCCAACATCCCACTTAATGTCTTTAAGCGACAGCACTTCAACAACGCAACAGATTATTTCGAGGAGCTCGCCCAACAACATTTTCATCACCTTGAGCATCAACGCAACGATGCAGTCACGGATGAATCCGACTGTCGGAAGAAATGCGTCGCGCGCTGTCTTTTTCGCAGACTTTCTCATGGAGTAGCCAAAGAACATTGCAATGGACCTTTCCAGATCTATTGCGATGGTCTTTGCCCCGACAATGTCCTTGTGGATGCCTCAAGGCTTGTTGTCACTGGGGTAGTCGACTGGGAATTTGCTTATGCTGCGCCTGTTGAATTCACATATGCTGCTCCTTGGTGGCTCTTGTTGGAGCGTCCGGAAGACTGGGAGTCCGATCTAGATCAATTCCTGGTGCGTTTTATGCCGAGGTTTCGCACTTTCGTAGAAGTGCTTCAAGATTGTGAGACCATAAAAATCAAAGGCGGATCGTTGTCACAGTCCCAGCGTTTCTCGATTGTTATGGAGAAGTCATTTGAGCCTGGACTATTTTGGTTTTGCCTTGCTTCGCGACGCAGCTCCATGTTTGATGAGTTCTATTGGAAATTTATTGATCCGCAGTTTTTTGGCCCATTAACGACGATGGAGGACCGTCTATGTCTGGTGAGCGCAGAAGAGCGTGTGAACATTGACACCTTCATTGACATGAAAATGCACCAGGCAAGTGAGGGGAATCTAGTTTCTCATTACAGCGTCGACGAATTAGTTGACCTATGACGACACATTGTGGTATTACACAATTCTGTCCCCGGTTCGAATCCAACAAGTCCTTGCACGAGGATTGCTCTGCACGATGCCTTCGACCATAATACAAATTTCATGTACAACCATTTTCATCGGAGGAAATCGTTCAGTCCCTTCAAGGGATATCCACCGCATCTTCGATCGATCCACGAGGACCACACGATGTGGATAAGAAAAACAATTTCCGCGAAAATCGAGATTGTCTATGGGCGTTGGGTACAAAGGTGGGCCGAAGGGAATCTACGGCTTCCAAATCTTCAGTTATGGGGCGAATACGAAAAGATTCGGCTGTTCGTTGAATGGGAAAGGAGTGAAAATGACGAAGAACGTATTTCGAGGATCCTCCTTTCCGCTTTGCACCCACATCGGTTTCTCTGTCTCAATTCCCTATCAAACCCGGAGGCCGTATTGCAAGATCAGATTATCACTTGCGCTTGCCAGCTGGCAGGGCTTCCGTTCAACTACAATTTTACTCGACACGTGGATGGACGTCAAAAGTCAGATTTCATCCACAATACATCTATTAAGGCGCTAGGAATTACCGAGGCAGAGAAGTCTAATACCCTCGCTAGCGTTCTATCAGCTCGGGCAGCAGAGTCATCATCCGATACAGAAGTGCTAAGGTCTCAGGCACTGCGGTAATGTATTTGCAGAGACTGTACTACGTCCTCCAGGACCTCCTAGAAAGGAAAGGTCCACCAGAAAACCGACAATTCAGAGATCGATACAAGCGCATTACGATAAATGAGCACGGATTTCCGTCCTCACCCCCACCATTGCTTCGTGAGAATACTTCTTTAAGCGACTTGTGCAGAAACCCATAGATATCATCCCGGCTTACGTGCAGTTCTGTACAAGCGATAGCAAGTCCTCTCTGTCAGCATCTCTCTCCCCCGCCCCTAGAGATGCTACTCGCACTTATGAACTTTCAACAAGCAAGGCTCAACCCTGATACTGCCGATCATCGCAAACACTGTCGTTCTCAGATATTCTCGACATTTGAAATCGTTCCCCGAGTTTGTGAGGTATGCTCTGAGCCTGTAGAGCCCGATAACTTATCAAAGTTTTCTCTACATTTACCTAATATACCGTGTGAAATGCTATTCAAAGTCGTGTCATCGCCTTCAGCGGAATGGTCGACCCACAAATGGCCTTGAGTACCGGACAGCATGGGCATTGAGAGAAAATGACTTGGAAAAAGTACTACGAAGCCCCGATGATTGTGAAGGTCTCCCAGCACATGTGGAGCTCTGGTGTATGAAGTGTAAAGAGAAGACGGTGCTCAAACAATCGCAAAGCAGTGGCAACGAAGAGGAGATCTCTGAAGTTGGTCGCACAGTGCTTGACCCAGCTCCTCGGTGGACATTGGGTGCCAAAGTATGTGCCACGTTGGTTCTCCTGTGAGAAGTATCCACGAAACTTGTCACAATTTGTTCCGGTCAGCATTAGAATTCCTTTTATACACAAGAGAAGCATAGAGATCACAATAAGTCGCTTTCCATATGTGAATCCAAGTTCACTGTCGAAGGTTTTGGACGCCTCCACTTCCTCTTCCCATTCCCCGAGAAGATTCGAACGGAAACGGGAAGAAAATGACATCGGGAATGCAACCGAATGTAATATCGATTTACAAATCAGCAATCTCCCGATAAAAGACGCCTCGAAACCAGCGATTATGGAAGTCAAGTGCTTGGGCTGTAACGCAGAATGTCCTCCAGATGTCAAGCCAAAGTTCCATGCTGACACAGGGAGTTACATTGCGTCGGTAAAGGAACACTGTCCTAAGTGGTGCACTGTTGGCAAGAGGGTGTATTTCGTCCCGGTGGATGACACTCCTTAGATAAGATCGCACACGGTCTGGAAGCAGGAGAGGGATAGGGAGGCTAAGATGAAGAGAGTCTAGAGGTAAAATAAAGACAGATAAGTATCAGACATAGCTTTAGGGACTTGCTACAGGATGTTCCATGGTCTGAATACCCAGTCCAACCTCTGCAAGGGGTTGAGTAGTCAATGTAAAATCCAATACACAGAGAAATACAAATATCAGACTCCTAATCTGGGAGTCCAGAGTAGATGCTTCATAGCGGCCGGGTGGTTTTTTTTTTTTTAAAAAAAAAAAAACCCCCATCAGGGCGTAGCGATACAATTCACAATGTAAAATAGCTCGAAGGGCCTGTCAAATGAATGCTTTGGTTATCAGGCATCAACTCCTTTTTTTTTTTTAAAAAAAAAAAAAAAAAACCCAACCTCAGGCTCACTGAGGACCTTATGATGGATGCCCTTTTCCCACTTTCTTTCAAAATGGAGAGTAAAGTAGAAGTCATATGCGCTGCCAATTGCGCCAGCCGGGCTACTTTCGGTACATCTCTCGCAATATAGATTTATATAAATCTAAAAATGACATCTGTGATTAAGTTCAGCGTTGAGGTTCATTCAAGTCGCCAAGTATTTTGATTCAAATTACTTATGCCTTGTCGTTATTGCTGATCCTTTGACCAGTACCGACCACAAGTTGATTGCTATCTCCAACGATACCTCGTAGCTACCATCCCTTATTTGCCTGTCCTTTTTCGTTTCCATTCCGTAACAATGATGTCCTGCAATCCCGCAAATTCCGATCGGGATTGTACGCAACCACCGATGGTTTATCAGGAGGATCCCTTTATACCCCACCGATCACCACCGAGGGGAGGGTTTCCCTATATAAACTATTGGAGTCGCCTAGGTAAGTATAAAGAAGAGGTAGGTTAATATCCAATTGGTGCCATGGTCTAGTGGTATGACGACACATTGTGGTGTTACACAATTCTGTGTTAGCCCCGGTTCGATTCCGGGTGGCGCCATTTCTTTTTCTTTTCTTTTTTTCCTTTCCTATTCTTAATATTCTCTCTCTGCATACATAACATACATCTATGAAGTAAGTAGGTAACGAACGGATACAAATGCCGATAAACAAAAGTCAAGAGCCAATCCATCCAGATCCATATTAGATCATTTCTGTACTTCTTCTCCCTTGGGGTGACCCACCACGACATATGCTCCGTAGTACTCGGTGATCCGGTCTTGACGTGCACAAATATATCTGCGAACAATCCCTGGGTAAACGGCCATCAAGATCCGACCACCATCCAGTGTGGTGTGATCGTCGTATAGGAAATTGTATTCATGTGCGACTACCCTTTTATTCAACCTGTCAACAGAGGTGAATGTCTCAGGTAGCTCTGCCAGCCCCTCAAAATCAATGTGGCCTCGTATATTTCCCATCAGTGCAGCACTTTCCACTGCCATCTTGTAAATTCGGCGAAGTCTTTTGTCCCGCTGGTCCACATCCTCCTTGCTTGTTGGCTCTCTAAGTAGCCAGCGGATAGGCTCGACGGAGAGAGTGTCATTCACAAATTGATCGACGAAAGACTCGCGGCGGTCCTTATGATAGGTTCCAAGTACTGTGTTTGCTGCCTGGTGTACATTCGCCGAGTTTGCAAGGCGATTGGTTTCGGATCTCCACAGTGATGCCATGAGTGGGTTGACTAGAAGCAATGAAGGACCGTGGTCAATGAAACATATCTTTTTTCTTGGGGTGGGAAGGTGGCATGACATACTTTCGTAGAATCTGTCATACAGATGCTGCAGCCGTGTACTGAACGTCTCATCTCCCTCGTCTGTCGGGGACATCTTCCCGTCCAAGTACCACCAAGGGTTCATGAAAAGCTTGCCCCAGATTTCTTTGTAGACCAGGGTTTCAACAATACCTCATTGATCAACTCTTGAACCGTATCTGGAAGGAGTCCCATAAAGACATCCCATTCCTCTTGCACGCAGTAACCCGCGAGGCTGCTGATAATGGCCTGCTTTTGGGTTTTGGAGAGACGGTCCATCTCCTCAATGGACTTCACATTTTCAATGGCCCACGAATGGGCCTCCGCGGTGAATGCGAGCGAATAGAGCAAGTCGCCGTTGTTTTTCGGTCCGGGCCAGCCAAACATGCCCGCCTCGATCATTTCTCTCATCTCGAAAACATCATGCATGTATTCACGCTTCGAAGAAGAGGGATATTTTGTACCATCGGGGGCTATGTAAGGGGGATGGGCGTAAGAGGACATCTTTGGTTTCTTTTGCTGGTGTTCTGCAGGAGGATCTTCCTTTTAGGGTATGTCAGACCAAAAGTATAGCAGCAAAGGGGGAAGTTTCTAACCTGAGGTTTCTGCTTCTTCGATCTAGTACTGCTCATGGTAGTAGTAGAAGAAGTAGAAGAAGAAGAAGTGATGTAGCCGGGGGGAGATATGAAAAAGAGGAGGGATAGATTTCTAAAGCCAGCATGGCCATGTCCCATTTTATGTCTTATTTGGCGAAAACATGGCCACACACATTTCTTTGTTGCTTTTTTTTTTACTTTACTTTACTTTTTTTTTTTTTCTCTTTGGAAGTTGGAATCTCAAGACCGAGAGAGTAGCCACATTTCTTTATTCTCCTTTGAAACTTCTTTGGAACTACAAATTTACAAATTTACGGTGTGGTTACATGAATCTACCTAGGTAGGGACGAATTAGGAAACAGCCAGAACCCCTCCAGGTGAGGACTGGGCGTATTTCTTTGTTTATGAAAGCGGAAATTCTGGTGGCCATCTTGGAGATGAAAGAAATCCGTATTCTGAGGATGAAACTGAATAATTGGGAGAGACAGTTACCTTCATGTGAGACTTTGCACTTTTCTTTATTCTTCTTTAGAACTAAACCCGAAGCCTAAGACATTCAAAGAAATATTTCCAAAGTGGAATGAAACTAGAACCAGGAGAAATCTTAGTATGTGTCTTTCAATCTTGGAATAACGTGGTTCTGATGTGCATCAACTCTGTGGACTCTGGCAATGAAACATGTGTTATATTGGAAAGACAAGACAGAAACATGAGCTTGGAAGACCTTCGGTGGGAATAGATTATCAAATGTATAACACTAAGTATTTAGTCGAGTTTTCAATCCAACTTGTCCAGTCTATCGGATACATCCTGATTCCAAGGCGATATGGAAGAGAATGGGTACAAGCTTGTCGTGGGTGTGGACTACGGTACCACCTTCACATGTAAGAACGCCTACACCTTCACTAATTCGTTTCTTTCACTGACTGAGAATAGGCATTGCTTATGTTCTTATCCGTGCAGGTGACCAAATGGGCAGCGAAAACATCAGTATTATCAAGCAATGGCCCTCAAGTCTTGGTGAGCAGCCCAGCGCCCCGTCCCTAATTTCTTACAGGCAGGATGGAGGTCCACACCTCTGGGGCTTTGAGGTCAACCCAGAAATGCGATCCTATGCCTGGACGAAGCTACTATTGGACAGAAATCCCCAACGTGATGAATTCGACGATGACCTCCTGGAGAGAGTCACCGGTTCGGAAATCCTGAGGCTGCCCAACCAAAAGGAAGCCGGGGAAGCTGTGGCAGACTACCTTTCTCGGATATACAGTCACATCCAGCACCATATCTCCAAAAAGGTGCCAGAACTTGGCAGTTCCAATGGGGATCTAAGTAGAGTGCCGATCGATTTCTGGTTCACGACGCCAGCTCGCTGGTCTGGGAATACACAGTTCCTAATGCGTCAAGCAATTCAGAGAGCAGGCTTTGGGACAAGCTTTCTACATCGCGTGTGGATATAACATTTGAAGCCTTTGCTACCTTGCGTATTCTAACAGATGGACCTCCCAAAAAAAAGGATCAACAATACCCAAAGGATTTTCAGACATGCCAGAAAATTCAGTTGCTTCATTGGGAGCATGATCTTCTTACCAAGCCCGTGGAGATCTATGAGTCCAATCTCCAAGTTGCACCACAGCGATTGGAGAACTCCGGTAAGTCTAGTGCTTCCACAGTTTTACGCATTTCGCCCCAAGTGATCGGGATTGCCGAGAAAAACACATTCATCTAGATGCGCATTGCATAGATTATATTCAATGTCACTTCAGTGACTTTGACCTTGCCCTGTTTCCTCACCAAACCATCGCCGGACGGAATGTCTATTACTTGGAGCTTTTGGTCAAGGTATCTCTCTCAGATCGGGTGATACATTTCTGTGCGTCTGCACTGGGCAAAGTGATTGGACGAAAAGACCTGGCCATGGCCCATGATTGATATCTTCTGTGTTGCAACTGAGGGGCCGAGTTTATAGAATGCGTTGCTACTTGATTTGTATTTTCCTCATCCTCACCATTCCTTAACAATTCGTCTCCATTCCCATAGGGAATTCATCTTCCCCCACAGCCCTTTGTCAGAAAATCAAAGAAAATACGGAAAATGGGGGAAGAGATTACATGTTATACCATAAAAGACCCAAATCACAAAAATAGGAATATGAGCAGGATGCGGTAAAGAAGGCAGGAATGGGCAAGGACGGATCCCCATCCTAACCACTCCAAGAAGTCTCTAGTCACTCAACCCCAACCTATTCTCAATGACCTTGACTATCTCGGTCCATTCCAACATAGCTCCACTCCCCACGTCCCCGCAAGCCAACACCTTCGACGACTGCGGTTGCAGAACCTCGACCCAGCCTGTCTCACCTCCCTTGTTGTCTTTTCCAACACCCCATTCCACCTCTAGCACCCGGATATGCTGGGCCGTCACTGGGTGTCGCCACATAGCCGTATTCATGGCCGGTGCAACTACAATCCGTTTTCGTTTCCCGTCAACCTGGCCATCTGTATCCCACGCTCGACATACGGACGTCAATAGATTATCGCTAAGTCCGTTGGCGAGCTTGGCCAGGGTGTTTGCGGAAAGAGGAGCAATGACAAGGATATCCGCCCAGCGTCGAAGAGAGATGTGCAAGATATCAACACCGCGGCGCCAGGGCTCTGGCCCCCACTCCGCGTCATCGTCATAGACGGCTTCTACGCCAGGGAGGGAACCGAGGGACGACACGGTGGGCTGCTCGGCGGACTGGCCGGCTAAGAATTGTTTGGCTTTGGTGGTGAGGATCACTCTTATCGAGAGCTTGTGGATATGAGGGGAAAGGGCGCTGATGATATTGGCTATTTTGATAGTCGCGACTGAGCCAGTTGCGGCAAGGAGAAGGTGAATGCGGTTGTCCGTGGAGATTTTATATGAGGCGTCATCAATCCCACTGACGGGAAGAGTCGATTGAGACATGCTTTATCAGTTTACTTTGCAGCATGCAGGTTTTAGCTTGGTCATTATCGATGATACACGAGATCCCAGGTGAGAGAAGTGGGGTGATAATGGCTTATCGATAAGAATTCTACCGAGGTCAGCCCTGGGAGATATATGAGGGTCGATAGCAAAGGTTGTGAAGAATCTCTTATTTGTTTTTCTTGGTATAGACCTTTAGGTATCAATTATGCTCCCGTTATTTCCCTATCATTTTCTTTCTGTTTATACATTTACTCGAGCCTATCATGCATTTCGAATAATATATAAATCTGGCTCAAGAATCGCATCTCCCTCTGCTCCACAGCAGAAAACCGAGAAAACCCGAGCAGATCAAGTGCTCTTCTTCGCATTCTCACGCTCAGCCTTCCGGAGAGCGCGCTTCCGAATGCTCTCGTGCATAGACTTGTTTTGCCCAAGAACAAACTTGCCCATAGTTCCGGACACAGAAGTCAAGAACCAAGCCATGATGCCATGACTCCAGTAGGGCGACGAACTGTAGGCATAGGTAGGCGAGCCACCACTGCGACCAATCTTCGCCAGAACGGAGCGAACGAAAGCGCGCGGGGTAGGGATAGAAGCCGAGGCACGACGGATCTTGGACATGGCAGAGGTAATCAGATAGGCTTGGACGAGTTCAACATCGATGCCGTAAGGGGCCAACTCGCCGCCAAGAGCAGTAGACCAGTATTGAAGGAAAGCCTTGCTGCCGGAGTAAGTGGCGAGGAACGGGGTAGGCAGGAGACCGCCGAAAGAGCCCATGGTCAGAATCAGACCGCGGCGGCGCTGCATCATGCCCGGCACGACAAGCTGAGTGACGCGGAGCGTGCCGGTGCAGTTGATAGTCACGATATCGGCCATCTCTGCGGCGGGGGTTTGCGCGAACGGAACGGGTATCGAGTGGCTCAGACCGACGTTGTTGACCAGCACGGACACGTCCAGATCGGAGACCAGTTCGCCCAGCGCCTGGTAGTCGGCGTCGGCGTTGCGTGAAAAATCCATTGCGAGTGTCTTGGTCTGCACCTGCGGGAACTGCTTGGTGATATCCTCTGACAGGGTTGCGAGCTTCGAGGCTGTTCGGGATACAAGCACGATGTTGAACTTCGACTTCGCCAATTGCAGCGCGAATTCCTTGCCCAGGCCGTCTGAGGCGCCTGTTACCACGGCCCAGCTACCGGGGGGACCGAACGAGCGAAGCTACTCAATGATGCTAGTCAGCTTCATCCTTTTCATTTGTGGGCCTGAATATCGATGTTACGTACCGGTTTACCCGGAAGCACGAACAGACTGAAAAGCACCCGCATGAACGTCCAGACCTTGCGGGCAATAACCAACCCTCCGGTCGCCAGGAGGAACAGCGCTCCATAAGTAGGCAAACCCGGGGCAATAAGGGCTGGCCATTGTGCGAGACACTCAATATGCTTCGAGAGATCCATAGCGGGCGAATGAACGTGAATAGGAAAAAGTAGACAGAAGGGGGAAAAAAGGTTGAGCAAACCGACGTGAGGCTTGTTGGGGGAAGATCAAACGCCAAGACTTGCCCAAACATCCTCGGCCTCCAAGTCGCAAGAAAAACAACTCCCCTTCAGATCAAAACAAAAGGGACACTCGCTCAAAAATGGACCAATACCTTGCCTATCTCCCCCAGTCCGAGGGCTTCCTGCCCAAATGGCTTTTCTTCGTAAGTTCTGCCTGTGTCATCCCATTACCACTGCTTTATTCTCCAAGCTAACCACCAACCTCTCTATATAGGTTTCGGTCGTCTCCGCTCTGAACAGCCTGCAAGCCTACACCTCTCCGAAAATACACCTCCCTACTCTACAGTAATGGCACGGTCCCCGCAACGCCGCTCTCCGGCCGCGTCTTCGGAACCTGGACCTTCCTCTCTGCAGTCATTCGCATGACCGCTGCTTACAACATCACAAACTCTGTCGCGTATGACCTTGGAATGTGGACGTACGGCATTGCGCTCTCGCACTTTATCGGCGAGCTCGTCTTCGGCAATGCCTCGCTCAAGGGCCGGTTCTTGAATCCTTTGATTGTTGCGTCGGGCTCGCTGGCTTGGATGTTGACCCAGCGCGAGGCCTACCTGGGTTAAGTGATTTGGAGAGGGGGATGGTTCAACAAATAGCTATGGAACTGAGCATTGAATGTTGGATCACAACTATATACAGCAGGCTTTGCGGGGAAATAATATATAATGCACATAAGATGGAATATCTTCAACTCTGGGATAACCCCGCCCAGACTTTCATCGATTGCTTTTCTTTTCTTCTCTTTTATTTCCTTTATTAATTCCGAGACGCTTCACGAGTCGATCTTCTTCCTGTACAACTCGCCACCGCAAGCCCGCAGCTTAGCAGCAGCTTGCTCGGGGGTGATATCACGTTGAGGCTCCGCCATAAGCTCATAGCCAACCAAGAACTTGCGCACGGTAGCGCTTCGGAGCAGAGGCGGATAGAAGTGCAAGTGCAGGTATGACGCCTCAATCTCCTCCTCGGTGCCATCAAGCGGAGCCTGGTGAACACCCATACTGTAAGGGAAGTGCGTCTCGAAGAGATTATCGTAGCGACGGGTGATCTCGGCAATTGCCTCAGCAAGCAGCATCTTATCGGCCTCGGACAAATCCACTAGCGCGCGCTTGTGCGTGCGGCTCACAATCATCGTCTCAAACGGCCAGGTAGCCCACCACGGACAGACAACCAGGAAGGCATCGTTCTCAAACACAACGCGCTCCTTCTTGCGGCTCTCCAGCGCCGCATAGTCCTCCAGCAGGTGGCTACCGCCGTGTTGCCGGCGATACTTGGTCAGCTGGTCCATTTCGGCAGCGGGCTCTTCCGGCATTGAGCTGGTCGTCCACACCTGCCCGTGTGGGTGCGGGTTCGAGCACCCCATGGCCGCGCCCTTGTTCTCGAAGATCTGCATGTACCGGTACTGCTCCTTTGGCTTGGTGGCGCTTGTTAAGGTGGATGTGGGCTGCAGCGTTGTTGGGGATGCCTTTTTCGCTAGCGGCGAGGTCGGGGACAAGTGTGCTGTGTAGATTTCTGTCCAGGCATCGATCACGGGCACGATCTCGCGAGGTGCCAGGTCAGCGAGGGTGAGGTTGTGCGCGGATGAGAAGGTGAGCACGTAGCACTTGCCCGTTACGGGCTCGGCTTTGAGGAACCGCGATTCGAGTTCTGTGGGTGTGTGTGAGCTTGGTACGCGTGTGGTGTGGATGCGCTGGGCGGGCTTGGACGTACCATCCTGATTTGAGGGCTCATAGGCCGCTTGTTCTTCCTTCACAGCGCTGTAGTCATTCACAAATACGAAGGTGCTCTCATAATTGGGGTTGGTATCGCCCTGGGCGCGCTCGTTCCCGGGACACAGGTAGCATTTGGGGTCGTAGTTGGGCAGGGTTGTCTTGGAGGGGCTCTCCTGTGCTCCTCTAGGGTGTTGTATGGTTAGCTGGTATGTTGCGCAGTGTCTTTCCTATGGCAACAATACTCACTGCCAGGGGCGCTTGGTTCGGTGGGGGGGAGACCAAGATGGAGGAGCCACGGAGAGGGTTGTATCTCCGGTGGGAAATGTCGTCGAGTACGTTTTCCATGGCTATAGATCACAATAATACCTTGGAGGGGAGAGAAGGAGTAAGGAAGCGAAAAGAGAAATCCCCGAAAATAGTTGGAAAGGGTCGGGGTTTGACTTCTGGTGGGGAGGCGGGGTCTCCGGAAGAAAGGAATGTGCCAGGTTACAGCTGTTAAGCGAGACCAAAGTGTTATGTATAGGAGGCTACGGTGGACCTTGCCTAACTAATATAGCATGGCGAAGTTGTAGAAGCAATATATCTTGACATACAACGTCTTGGCATCTCCGTCTTTCTCTCGGTGAGCCGTCCAGGAATCGGGATCCCGCAGTTTTCCGGGGAAACAGGCACGTTGGGGGGACCGTTTGACCTGAGTTCAGCTGAAAGAGGTAATTGAATGCCGCAACTAACCGGTAGAAACCACACTTCCCCAGTTGGTGTCCCACATGGGTGGTGAGGTGGGCTGGCAGTGGACTTGGCAGTGGACTGGCGCACTAAAAAAAACCCAAAAAAGGAAATATATGCCCGCCTCACGTGCTATGACATCACTTATCACTTATCGTCAATCTGTTGTGTCGATACACAGAGATCAACAGTGTAACTCACACCTTGTTGTCCATTGTTGCATTAAATATTGACCTTTTGGAGTATACTAACTAGCATAAATGACTTAAATGACCTCTATTCCCAGGTTGTAACCCAATTAACACACAATAATCATCAACTATGAACCCCGCCAACCCCGCAATGACCTTGAACTCGCTACCTAACGAAGTATGTATACAGGGTATACACCCTGAGCAATGGATCTAAACATATCTCTAGGTATTCATTCAAATTCTATCCGACTTCTCAACCCGGACACTTCTCCCACTCACGTCAGTCAACCACCGGTTCCACGCTCTGGTCCTAAGAATCCTCCACTACCGCCTGCTCCTTAGCATGCCGCTCAAGGAATATAAACTACTGCTGGAATGCTTCCATCCCAGCTCAAAGCTCACTGAGCCACATGTCTTCTGCAAATACCTCGGTACAGATGGACTGAACGAGCGTCATGATGAAACGGGTCTGTTATACGAGAATATCGATGCCGCCCACCACCTAGGTAGGGTGACAGGACTATATTCGCGCTTTCGTCCAGAGGTAAGCAGCGATGATGAAGATGAACGAGGCACAATTGGCTCCAAGTCCGGTTTCTCGCCAGGTAGGATGCTTCTGTATTCGGAGGTGGTGGGGTTCATACGGGCTGACATTAATGGGGGTCGAGAAGGCAAAGGAGAGGATGCTGTGATACGTGAGGTTACTTTAAATGGATATGAGGATTTCTCACAGTTATGTGTGGTGGCCAATCTAGTGCAAGTCAAGCCGGGAACATCGTTGCTGTTGAGTGCATCGACTATTGAGGATGGGTTTGTTCGGTTATGGAGGGAGTGGTTGCGTGGCCAAAGCGGGAGGATGAAGAAGACTACCGAGATTGACTGGGAAGAGGACTCTGAAAGGATGTCTTTCGATGACGATATACTGTGGGTGGATATGAGCAAGACCGTTGGGTTGAAAATGCACGTGCGGCCGAAGGCGTGGGATCCGTCTCTTCCAGTGCTCATTCAGGATGATCGGAATGATGACTCTTGGGTTGGGTATGAGGTTATTCTGGAAGGTGAGTCACTACTACTGTGGAGAGCAACCCGTGTTGACTTGATAGAACTTCACATTCGCTCCACGCGGTTGCTGATGGCTGTAGAGCAGTCAAAGGAAGAGCAGAAAATCCATCAAACCAACGCAATGGTGATTGGGGCCCCAATTGCAGTATCTTGAGAATTGGTGGATAGTATCTGGTCCCGTGGCATATAATAGAATATATCTGAACGCATATACAATACGGGGAGCCCAAGAAGACTCATCTGTCACTATATTTGAACCTCAAGGCCACTCACTACTATACTACTAGGTAGTGTTTTTGACAAATCAAAACGGGGGAAGAGATTATATTATGGAGAACTTGGACTTTACATGAATGGTACAATAACATAAATTAAGCACATAGGTAGTAACGCATTTTCTTTATGAGACTACTGGTTCAATACTCAACCAGAGCCCTATGATATAGCGAAAAAGAGAAAAGAAATGTCTGCCAAGGTATCCAAGCCTCCGGGAAGCCGTAAGAATGGCGTTCGGGCCGACCTTTGAGCCAGTCAGGTTGCTCCCTTATATTGGACTCCACTGAAAATTTGTGCATAATTGCCGAGATATATATACCTAGGTGTACATTTCAATGGTTTAGACCGAGGCTGCTCTCGGTTGTTCTATTTGAGGCTGTTTGGACCGATTCAATATTAGTATTTTTTCTTTCTCTCTTACATAATTGATATCCTCCAATATACACACCCATATACCAGTCCACATCATTATATAGCTCCTGGCCTGAACCCAGCATGATAGTCCCCGACGGCGAGGCCATGCAGCCTTCAAAAATCCCTTTCTGGCGCCTGATCTTCGACCAAAAGGTGGTCACCGAGGAAGTCATGCAATTCCCATACAAAGGGTCAGGCACTGAAGACCACCCATACGCCGTGATCTGGATCCCTGCTGACCCGCGCAACCCTATGAACTTCCCCCCAACCAGGAAGTGGTCTATTACACTGCTTGTGTCATTCGTTACTCTCGCAGTGTCATTGGTCTCATCCGCCTTTTCAGGTGGAATGAGACAGATCATGGAGGACTTTGGTGCGGCCCAGGAAATCGTCATTCTCGGTGTATCGCTCTTCGTGCTCGGATTCGCTATTGGACCCTTGATCTGGGCGCCCCTTAGTGAGATGTTCGGCGGAAGCATATCTTTACCATCTCGTTTATGTTTCTCACCGTGTTCAATGCCGGCGCGGCGGGTGCAAAGAATATTGAGACGCTCATCATCCTGCGTTTCCTGGCGGGTTCCTTTGGATCATCGCCGTTTGGAAATGGAGGCGGCACTATTGCAGATATGTTTCCAGCTTCTCAGCGTGGTATCGCTATTAGTCTTTTTGCTGCTGCACCCTTCCTAGGACCGACACTAGGCCCTGTTATTGGAGGATTCCTAGCTGCCGCTGCCGGCTGGAGGTGGGTGGAGGGACTACTTGCTGCATTCTCGGGTGTGCTCTGGCTATGTATCATATTCTTGTTACCAGAGACATATGCACCTGTCCTATTGCGCCGTCGTGCCGAAAAGATGTCTGCCCTGACTGGCAAGGTGTATCGCAGTCAGCTTGACATCGACCGTGGCCCCGCTCCTATGGGCAAGACGCTGAAAACCGCGCTTTCCCGCCCGTGGGTTCTGCTATTCCGTGAGCCAATTGTGCTACTTTTCTCCATCTATATGGCAATCATCTATGGCACGCTCTACATGCTCTTCGCCGCCTACCCAATCGTCTTCCAAGAAGTCCGCGGCTGGAGCGAAGGGGTCGGCGGTCTTGCCTTCCTCGGCATCCTCGTCGGTATGGTGATGGCCGTGGTATACACATTCCCCGAGAATTTCCGCTACGCCAAAAAATGCAGCGAGACCACTGACCGACTCGCTCCCGAGCTGAGACTACCCCCAAGCATGGTCGGAGGTATAGCACTACCAGTCGGCTTATTCTGGTTCGCCTGGACGAACTCGCCTGACATCCACTGGATGGCCTCAGTCGCAGCTGGAGCGCCCTTTGGTTTCGGCATGGTCCTTGTCTTCCTCAGCGTGTTCAACTACCTTATCGACTCATACACGATATTCTCTGCCTCCGTGCTAGCCGCAAATTCCGCCCTCCGCTCGCTGTTCGGCATGGCCTTCCCGCTTTTCACAACCTACATGTACCATAACCTGGGCATACACTGGGCCTCGTCGGTTCCAGCCTTTTTAGCGCTTGCATGCGTGCCATTCCCATTCATATTCTACAAGTATGGCGCACGCATTAGGCAGCGCTGTACATACGCTTCTGAGGCGGACGCCTTTATGCGCCGCCTTGCTGAGAGGAACCAGGCGGTCCGCCGCGAGGAGCCTGACTCGGGGAAGGGTGATAAGACAGACTCGGTCACTCGGGTATCTGACGATGCCGACTCGAGTGATACTGATACTTTATCCACTGTTCCGTCTCGTACGATCGCGCGTTATGCGTCCCGCGCATCTCGGCAATCTGGCCGGTCTTTGCATCGTGTTGCAACTGCGACACAGTACGAGGAAAACCCTTATGACTTGGATCTGGTCAATACCCGACAGTCGGCTATCAGCCGCAAGGATTGAGTGGATGAGATACTGAATGAATAGTGCTACATACCCCAATTTAATGTATCTACTAAACCATATTTCCAATATGAAACCAACAGATTTGTAGACAATTTGGGGAACCTCCCAAGGTTGGAATTAAAATGATCACCTCATCATCGTCGGCGGGCCTCGGTCCATCTCCGCCTCGGCAACCTCCGCTATAATCGACTCATCTTCGCTGCTTCAACTGACCTGACTGGTAATACGGAGGAAATTAAACAGAATCTGATCGATAATTCTTCGTCATGCCTGGCAAGATTGATGCTTACGTTGACTGCGGTATGAGAGCCCTCAGCTCCACCCCTGGGATCGTTGAATCCGCATTTCACTGACTGCCGCTTCGACAGTATCGCCATACTCATACTATGCGACGCTTTATCTCACGAAAGAATCGCAAGGCTCTAGAGTCACATGGGGTCGAGGTTGAGTATGCGCGTCCCTGGTTGTTAGATGGGATGTGAGCTAATAAGACAGATTCCACCCGGTCTTCTTAGGCGGGATTAATGTTGGCTCAGGTATCTAAAATAAAACGTTCTCTCATCAAGATTGACATTAAGATTGCTGACGTTTTGGACAGGGAATAAACCCCCATGGACACTGCCCGCTAAAGCAGCGTACTCCAAATTCGACTCGGAGCGAGCATGTAAATACTTTGGAGTCCCGCAGATCCAGACACCAATGTTCTTCCCAATCCTCTCAGTCATGGTATCATCCTCTCTCTATCTTGGAATATTTCTCCCTCACTAACCAACCAGCCCCAACGATGTATGATCTACATCAAAAGCCACTTCCCGCGCGAGCAGTACGAAACCACCTTCCTGTCGCTGTGGGAGTGGATGTTCTACAAAAACATCGACATCAGCAAGCCAGAGAAGTTAGCTGAGCTATTCCAGAGCAACGGGTACTCCGACTCGGAAGTCAGGAAAATCCTGGCCGCGGCATCCAGCCCGGAATTCAAGCAAGCTTTGACGTCCAATACGCAGATTGCTCTTGATAAGGGAGCCTATGGTGCGCCGTGGTTTTGGGTGCGGAATGCCGAGGGCAAAGAGCAGCCGTTTTTCGGTAGTGATCGGTATGTTATGTATGATCTCTGTGCAGTGAATGAATGCTGATTTTGTTATAGGTTTGCATTTATGTGGATGTATCTCGGGTTGCCATTTCAGGATGTTGCGATTGTTGAGAGGTCGAGGCTTTAGACCCTGTCGAGTTTCGATCTGATTCCATATGCTCTTTTGGATATGTCAATGATCTACCAAGATACGGAGTATCGTCGGATTTCTTAGTCTAGCTCTTAGCTTCAACAACAATCTCATCTCACATTTGCACCATGCACTTCGACGTCTACCATGTAGACCTCTCCTCACAAGTATATTCGTGGTGATATGTAGATGCCAAGACTAATTTCCCAAGTAAACACTGAACCCTTAAAAAGAGGTCGAATATGGAGTATTATATACGGGGAATGAGATGTCCATTCGTCGTGTAGTTAATCCTTTTTTGGCTTACTTTATACATATTGTCGCGAACTTGGCCCCCAAGTTTTAGCTACATATTAGTTGCCTATTAGGTTGGGGGCCATTTCAAGTTGGCCCTAATAGAACCTAAAATATGAACATGTATACAACATACAGAACTACAGAACTACATAGGACGACCGCAACCGGCTAAGATCTGAACCGTTTTACCCCGCATCCTCCCCCACACTTACAAAGTCCCGATTCTTTGGAGTCTTACGGTCTTCACTCTACCCACCTCTACTAACCATGGCGGGACGAGTTTCATGGATAGGTCTCGGAAACATCGGCCGTGTAAGTTAACAACACGCCCCCCCCCCCCACCACCCCCAACAAAAACCAAGCCTAACAAGCTATCCCAGGGCATGAGCCAAAACATCGCCCAGAAAGGTCCCCAAACTGGCCCGCTCCTTCTCTACAACCGCACAACTGCACGAGCAACAGCCCATGCGTCCGAACTCACAAACGCTAAAGCCGTAACAACCCTCGCCGAAGCAGTAAATGAATCCGATTTGATCTTTACCTGCGTCGGCGACGACACCGCCCTCGACTCAATTGTCACCGCAATCCTCTCGGATCCCAGAATCTCGCAAGACCTGTCTGACAAGACCTTCATCGATTGCTCAACTGTGCACCCGGATACATCCCGACGAACCGAAGCAGCCTTCCACGAGCGAGGAGCAGGCTTCGTCGCCTGTCCCGTTTTCGGGGCACCGAATATGGCAGACGCAGGACAACTTATTGTCGTTCCGGCTGGGAAGCGTGCATCAATCGAGAAAGTGCGACCATTCTTCAACGGTGTCGTGTCCAAGAAAACGATTGACCTCTCATCTGGAAGTGGAGCTGATATAGACGTTGGACGGGCGTCCACACTGAAAGTACTGGGTAACACGTTCATTCTCAATACTGTCGGTGTTCTTGCTGAGGCGCTTGTTGCCGCTGAGGCGTCTGGCCTTGGGGTTGAGCCGTTGCAAGAATGGCTGGGGCTTTTCGCGCCAGGTCCATTTGCCAATTATGCGGAGAGAATGGTGGGCGGGGATTATTGTACCCGGGAGGAGCCGCTTTTTGCAGTTGATCTTGCCCGGAAGGATCTGGGACATGCTTATGGGATTGCGAAAGAGGGAGGACTGCGGATGAAGAATGTTGAGGTTATGGATGGGCTTCTGGAGGATGTTAAGGAGGCCAAGGGGGTCAAGGGAGATGTTGCTGCTGTTTATGGGGCGGTTAGAAAGGGGGCTGGGATGGAGTTCGGGAATCAATGAGGTTATTGGGAGGATGGGATTAGATCTTATTTTGTGATAAGGAGCTGATTTGGATCGACTTGATAAAAAAAATAATATTGCTAAGACAAGCCTTGCTTGTAGCTATTAAATCATGGTCTCCATAGGGATATGGTGGAGACTCAATTGATCAAGGAGTAGTTAATTATGAAGACAGAATTTTTTTTTCTTTAAAAAAAAGCACAAGCGACGCGCGATACGCGCTCTCGTTTCAGTCATTATCGCATTACTCGCGAATTTCCTGAGACTCGTCGTGGTGCTGGTGCTCACCAGTGCCGGCCTCACCCTCTTTGCGACCCCCGGTGGAAGGTCGGTGCAGGTCGTCAACGATGCCCTCGGGGGGAACCCAGCTGGAGGACTTCCAGGGCTTGACGTGGAGGACGTACATGGTGTCGACCTCCTCGAGGGTCCGGCCCTGGGTCTCGTTGACGAAGAAGAAGACAACGAGAATGGCGAGGAAGCAGCAGGCGGCGAAGACGTAACCGTAGCGGAAGTCGATGGTGTTGGAGATGAAGGGGGTGAAGAAGGAGATCAGGAAGTTCCAGGTCCAGTTGGCAGCGGTAGCAACACCCATACAGACAGCGCGGTACTTGAAGGGGTACATCTCACCACAGATGGCCCAGACGATAGGACCCCAGGTGGTGGCGAAGCCGACAATGAAGAAGCAGGTGAAGACAATCATGGCAACACCGGCGGGGTGAGAGGAGGGGTTGGTGTTTAGGATCTCGTGGCCGACGGAGGCCCAGATCATGAAGCAGACGAACATCCATGCGGCACCGTACATCAGGCACTTGCGGCGACCATAGTGCTCGACGATGTACAGACCGGGCAGGGTCATACCGAAGTTGACAGCACCGAGAATGATGGAGGTGACGTAAGAGTTGCTCAGACCGATACCCTGGAAGATACTGGTTCCGTAGTAGAAGATGAAGTTGGCACCGGTCAACTGCTGCAGAGACTGCAAAGCGATACCGAGCAAGATACGGTGCAGCATGCGGGGACCGGTGAAGACCTCTTGCCAGGGAGCATTGCCGTTGGCGAGCTCCTCCTCAAGCTTCTGCTTCATATCGGCCATCTCCTGGGCAACGACACGGTGGTTGTGGGGGACACCGTAGAGCTTGCACATGACATTGCGGGCCTCTTCGGCACGACCGTGGCGGTAGGCGTAACGAGGGGACTCGGGCAAGAAGAGGGTGCCGACACCAAGGATCAGGGGCCAGGCGAAGCCAATGCCCATGGTGATGCGCCACGAGGCGGCGTTCCCGAGGGTCTCGGTGCCGAAGTTGACAATGTACGAGATGAAGATACCGAAGGCAACGAAGAGCTGGAACGCACTGACCATAGCACCACGGACCTGGCGAGGGGCAGACTCAGACTGGTACATGGGGACGACGCTGGAAAGCGCACCGACACCCAGACCAGCAACCCAACGACCGAGAGCAATCTGGTACCATTTATCGGTGGTGGCAATCTGCACAATGATACCGACGATGTGGAGGAGGGCCCAGAAGGAGATAGAGAACTTGCGGCCAATGCGGTCTGCAATTGGGGGCAGCCACCAGGGCACCAATCATAGTTCCGATGGAGAGCTAATATAGAGTTTAGTATATGACGGGAACACAACAACAAACTTTTCCAACATACCAGGCCGACAATCAGACCGTTGCGAACGTTACTGAAAGCATATTCTCCGGTGGCGGCATTGTACTCAGCGAAGCGCTGCTTGAAATCGATCATGGTAGTGAAACCCGAGATTTGACCTGAGGTTCGGTTATTATTAACGTTGCATCTACAGTGGCAATGGCTGTGTGACACTAACCAGTAGAGTATCCGAAGATGAAACCACCCATGGAGACACACAGACCAAGGATGAAAGACCGCCAGGTCAGGTACTTGACGGGGCTATCATCGAGAGTGAGGTTATCCTTTTCAGCGGTAGTCGAGTCGGCACGAGCAGGAGTTGCGGCCTGGGAGGAGAATTGGGATTCAGCCTTCCCAGGCTTGATCTTATCCATAAAGGTAGAGACACCCATATTGAACAGATCCGAACAGAAATAAATAAATAGAAACGAGTTGGAAAAAAGAAAAGAAAAAAAGGGGGGGGGGGAGAAGGGAGAGGGCGAACTAAATAGGTTGGGAAGTGTCGAGTGGCTCTTTCCCTTGGGGTACCGTGGATACTCCGCGTAGAGTTAGAAGAAAAAAAACGGGGGCCCGGATCTTTGTTACTGTCCCACGTTTTTTATTATTATGGGATGGGGTGAATTCGGGGTGAATTCGGGGTTCGAGGGTTGTAAATTTCACTCCACGGGCAAAAAAAGTCTGTTTTGGTCTTTTTCAATCTCTAGCGCCATGCACTCCGTGTTTGGGTTCCTTTTTTTATGGTGGAGAAGGTGGAGGATGGGGGAATGTTAGGAATGCACGTGAGTTGAATATGTATGGCATTGATGTGTACATTGTACATTTCCAAGGTTGGTATATCCATTGATGATTTATAGGTATCCAATGGGACTATGTACACAATGTGAACTGTACACAGCACTAAAGAATCAACAACATGGGAGCATAAAAACCAACTGATCACCAGACCTTCTTACCACCTTCTAGAAACATACGGGATTCAGTTAGATATCTGGGTCCTCGGTGCCAATGCACGAATGAGAATGTGGTTCCTGGGCCAAGTACGTAACAGTGACCATGACACTTCGGGTTGGGGTTCCTGCAATGTACGGAGTAAAAGAATAAATCACTCATGCCTCTTAAAGTGACGTATATGCCCAGGTGATCTCCTTCCGGGTGATGCCGTGTTTACCTACATAGGTATAGAGTGTACGGAGGTACCGGAGTATGGATAGATTGAAAACTGTGTAGGCATAGCAATTTACTCTACGAAAATATAGACGGGAACGAAAGGCAACTGAAACCGGGTGGATTCCCAAGAAAGAAAGTGCAAACCAGAAAATGCAAAGGAAAAAAAAAAAGTCCGATACCAAGAAAAGAGTGGGTCATTATGCGTGGATTCTGCTCTCTACCCGGTCATAGGGGCGCTGATCATAGTTAAAATTAAGAGCTGAAGAATGTATGATTGCAGTTTATAGCTAAACTAGGAACATTAAAGGAAAAAAAAAGAAGCTCTAAACATAGAGGGAGATAGTCCCATTTATATCTTTGAACATATTCCAGCTGAAACGTGCTGATAAGAAACTCAAGCTGGGCATGAGAAAGAGCAGAGACCCACCACCGGTGAGGATTCGGTCGACTCCCGCGCAGAGATTTCCGATCGGTTGACTTTTCGTCTCCATTTTTCTCAATCGGCACACCGAATGTGCTTTCTATTCCGAGCCGATTGGCATCCCGAGTCGGGATAGCTGCCGACCCTGGCCGAATGGACTTTGTACAATAAAACCATGTGGAATATTATATATGAATTGAAATTGAAAATTGTTGAATACATTATAAATATTCATGGATATATATTCATGAATACTTAACTCTAGCATGATACCATTTTCCCTATATTTTATTTGGCTTGCATGTTCGGCATGCCTAGGTGTCTTTCTCGGCATCCCTTGTTCGACCTAGACCCATAATAAAAATCCACTAATAGAAATCCACTAAGGAAAAAAAAGAAAAGATTTTTTTTTTTTCTCTGACATTCAACAAGTGCTATCATTATTAATAACTGAGGTATCAAACCACTAAGAGAGTGAAAACTGTGAAAACTCTGTAGAGACCCTAAACTTCCTCTGGTTAGCCTCCGACCAGGAAGTCGACCCAATCCCGCCAATTTCGCCTTATCAGCGTCGATGCCCGTGTGAGCTGCCTTTTTTTATGCAACCCTAGATTGGACTGATCTCGGGCAAGCCCGGCAGGCTTTATGTACGTTGTACGTTGTACGTTGTACAATGAATGCAGTGTAACCATTCTGATGTCTTGGCGTCTGTACTCCGTACAAAACAGCAAATCATCTTTATGAGTTTGTTGCATGATCCTATTGATTTAAGGATTCAGGTAAAATCCGGTACACCTGAGAATAGATCTTCACTCTCTCCATATTGAGAACATTCTGATGAACTATAATAAATGACTCCAGATAGAACCAATTTGGTAAAACAAATATTTTATCCCGAGCAATCTACTTCGTACTCCATATATATGTCGACGCCTAATCTTTTCTTCCAAAAACAGAGGACATACTCCGTACGCAGTACGGGCGACCAGTATAATGACGTGTATCATCTATGTTGCATTAGCACATATGTTGTTCGTACTTATACACATCGTGCCATACCACCCAAATAAGCAACCCTGCCTCCTCCCTCTATGAAACAAAGCTACCCTATTACATGCGAAATGCTTGTCTCTAATCCAACTTTTTGTCAAGGGTCCAGCGAGGAAATCGTGCTTTTCTTTTATTTAGCACATATCTGATGCCATCATTCCTCTGTAATCTAGTGTTCGGCCGACGTCTAGAGGTAAGCTGTTCCACCTATATAATAAGCATTGCTACCAGGATCATCCCTTTTCTCCAATGATGCTGTCAGAGTGTGAGCCCATGAATACATTAATTTGATAAGTCCCATCCATGGATGTTTGTGCATGAGTCTGATTCATCTGTGCCACCTTACTTTTCTCGGGATATCCGCCTATCCGCCAATGCTTTTATGTTGTATGTATTTATTTCGACATTCAAGTTATGCTACATGAATCCTAGCAAATAACTAGAAACATAGAAGAATCATATGATTGGTGAACATTATTGACTATCAGTGCATCTGCAAGAAGGGACCTTGGAATGCGTGGACGTAACCAGATAAGCACCGGGGAGACTGGGATGAGGGGTCCACCTGTCTCCGGGTGTTCTTAAGGTTATAATCTGGGGACATACATCTACGTACAAAAAGGGGTTAATAATGAAGATTAGGTACCTAGGTAGTCCACGACACAAGCTTAATAAAACCAAAGATCATCTGTATTGGCGGTATATGCAAGATCATCAAGTCAAGAACTTTTCCGTCCTATTGACCAGGAGGACAAACTCCCACAAATCATTACTGTGTCAAATAAACATAGAAATCATCCACAGTAAAACAGTTGTGGAAACCAAAAATGTGCGTCAAATGAACATTTGAACGAAACTCGGAGGGGTAACAAAAATTCTCGAAACATAAAACGCCCAACACCATTTTGCACCCGGTAATCGTAACCAATGGACAATGATTAAGAATGGGTCTCGTTTCAGCCGCATCAGCATCGGGACTTCTAACGACGATCCGTCTTGCCCATACCACGCTTTCCGGAGAACTGAAGAGAAAATAGTTAGCACTGACTGAAAAAAAAGAAGGAAAGAAATCAAGAAAAAAAGAAAAGAAAAGAAAAGAAAAGGAGAGAAACATACCAAATGCTTCGCAAGAGAGGCGGTTGTGTGGCGATCAGCCTCACCAGCACGAGCCATACGGTTCATCTTCTTCTGGCCCAGCTTAGCCATACGCTCAGCCTTATCACGGCTGCTGAAGGTGGTAACACCGTCGTGACGACGATCAGTGGCCGGTGTGCTGCGGGCGCGGCTCTTGGCACGAGCAAGGGCCTTGTGTGGGTTGTCATCGACGTCCATAGCGTCGGGGTCGGCAGTAGGTTCACGGATAGTAGTACGTCCGCGAGACGGATTGGCGGCGCGGGCACGGGAACCAGCGGCACCATTGTCGTAGCCAGCGGAATCCAGACCCCTGGTCATCTCGGACAGCTTCTTGGCCTTGGCGCTGCGGGGGATGGCGGCGCGGTTCTTGAGCGACTTGCGCATCTTGGCTTCGTTGCGCATCAGCACACGCTTCTCGCGGATGAGATCGGCCTTCAAGCGGTTGTCGGCGTCCTCGGCATCCTCCACGCTCTCGTCCGACTCGTAATACCCATCTGCCTCGAGCTTCTCTTCCTCCTCCTCGAGGGCGGCAAGCTTGCTCTCGATATCCGGATCCACAAAGTCGTAGATGTTCTTGCCCTTCCACACCTCGGGGATCTTGTCGTGGTTCCACTCCTCGCTGCCGAGGGTGTAATCGCGCTGCATGTCGAAGTTGTAGACACCGGCACCACCGTTTTCCTCTTCGATGTCGCGCTCCAGTCTCCGGCGGTTGGGATCGTTCTTGTCGTACTTCTTGAGGTCCTTGACACCTTCGGGGATGAACGTCTCACGCACACCGCCCATAGGCTGAGCCACGTGGATACGGGACAAAACGTCGCCGAGACGGCTGCCGGGGGTGGCAGCGCTGGAGCCGGACTTGAGCTTCTGGGAAACTCGCTCGGCGAGGAGCTTGTCGCAGGCGGCGTTCTTGACAGCGCTCACACCTTCGGTGGTGGTGCAGGAAGCCTGCAGCAACTCGACATCCTCTGCCTTGAGGATCTCCTGCAGTTGCTCCTGGTACTCAGGCTCCAGGTCCTCAGGGCGGCGCACATCGATCTTGTTCACGACAATGAACACGATCTTGTTGGCGAACAAGGGCTTGATACTGTGGAAAAGCTTGATCTGGTCGCCGACGGAGTACCCACACTGCTCGGAAAGATCCATGAAGTAGAGGATAGCGGACCGCAAGTGAGCAACAGCGGTGATCGACTGCATTTCAATGGTGTTCATCTCCTCCAGAGGGTGGTCCAGGATTCCAGGGGTATCGATAGCCTGGAAACGGAGATATTTGTAATCGAAATGGCCGACGAACAGACTCTTCGTGGTGAAAGCATAAGGCTGAACATCGACATCGGCACGGGTGATATTGCGCAGGAAGCTCGACTTTCCGACGTTGGGGTATCCACAGATCAGGAGAGTACGAGTGTTGGGATCAATCGAGGGCAGACGGCCCAAGTGTTGGCGGACCTGCTCCAGGTAGACGAGGGGGTCCTTCAGGCGGCGGGTGATGGTTGCCATGCGACCGAGCGCAGCGCGCTTGAGCTGCTTGCACTGGAACAGAGACTGCGCATACTTGATGAGACGGACATAATCGCGAGAAACGGTTTCAATCAGATGCTTGGCGGTCGAGACTTGACCAAGGGCGATACG